TATCTCTCTAATACAACCTACAGCCTTTGTACAGAAGAATGTTCCAAGGAGGCATATGGTTTTAATCCTATATCTACTTACATGTTCTTTGGGGATTTTTAAGTGCAGTGTTTTTAATTTTTATTTTACTTTTAAGGAAAACTGTGAAAGTTTTTTTTTTTGGGGGGGGAGGGGGAAGTTCCTTACCCCAAAGACAAAAATAACCCTTCAGTATCAAACCAAAGGTCCATCTAGACATGCATCCTCTTTCCAATGATTGTTTGCCAGGTGCTTCCAAAAAGTATACAACCATGATGCCAAATAACTTCCTTTTCTTACAATCATAATTTAGCTTCTCACAATTCTTCCTAGACTATAATCCCCATCAGCCCCAGCCAACATGGCCAATGATCAGGCATGAAGCAAATTGTAGTTCAGAACATCTAGAGAGCACCAGGTTGTGGAAGCTTGTTCTTGTGGCATGTATAAGGCAGGTAGTAATTAAAAGCCACAAGAATTTACTTACACCTTACAAAAGTCCTTGTCAGCTTAAACTTGTCACTCAAAAGCCAGCCCAAACAGGTAGATCTCACTATGCTTCCAAATGAAAATGACCATGGCAAGTCTAGAGGGCGAGGGAATTCTATAATGGGGATAAAAGATCATGAAGTATGTCTTTCTAGACACCAATGCAGTAGAACCTGTCAATTCAGTAACTACATGTGGAACATAAGAGATTGCAATGGGACACTGAGGGAAGAGACCCTGCGAAGTATTTTGGGTCTCTCCATTTTAGGACTGTGGGCCTTTCTTTGCTAACTCGATTACTAGAAATGATCTAGAATAGCAGGAGGAAGTTCATCTCATTTAACACAATAAAAAACAAATACACAGCCCCCAGGAGCAGTCAGTGAAACTTAGACCCACATCAGACATTACTTCAGCAACAATGTTCCAGGAAGCCAAACCACACGGGACTCCGCACAGCTTGCACAAAATGGCCCCTACTTGGCTTGGTACGATTCTATCAAGCCACAGTGTGCCAAGAGTGGAGACCAAGCACGCCCTTGAGCAAATAGCTCCATCTGTCTTTGTGCTACAGGGAAAGTAACACACCCCAAGGCCACTAGCCAATATGAATTGAAAAAAAGATCCCCTCCCTAAATAAATATTATTACGCAGATAATTTTTTTTTAAAAAAATAATCTCTAACTGATCCACGGTTTGAAGTGTCTGGCTTGTTGGTTTAGAGGTATGATTCTCATTTAGGACATGAGGTTCAAATCATGAACAAGCCTTGCATGGGAAGGGGTATGCTGGATGTTCCTTTATAATTTGGGGGAGGGACAGTACTAGAACAGATTCAATACCTGGCATTTCCAGCTTTAATAGTGATGAGAATGATCCTCTGCATTAAATTCGGAAAGTCACTGCCTAAATGACCTTAATGGACTACCTATACTGACCTAAATGGACAATTAGGCAGACATGGTATAAGGAAGACGTCTCTGTTCAATAAAGAACCTCACAGTTTGAGACTTGAACCTTAGCTAACTAGGACTGTGTGGATGGACACCCAAAAACCCTCTCTGGGTGATATATGCAACTTAAGCATCTGTGGCTTACAGGAAGTATAATGCAAGGCCTGGTACAAGTGTGAGGATTTGACCTTGTCTGGGCAACAGAGCAGTTCCTCTTCTGCAGCTGGAATCTCAGCCTCACTCCCAGCCGCTGGCTATAGGCACTCTGGCATAGAGAATACCCACTCAAAGTCCAGCCTTGACACAACCCAAGCTGTGCTATGAGAACTAGGTCTTCACCTTTCCTTTAGTAATCATTTTAAGAATAACTGCATGTTTGCATGTGTTATTTCCCCCAGACATGGAACACGACTCCCTTCTTCTGCCATTTATCATCTTGAGTGCTATGTGCTTTATTTGCTGTTAAATGTGCTGAATGCTCTTAGCACCTTTTAAACATGGAGGAGTCAAAATAAGGACGTCATACTTCTAGGAACTGCGGTGTACATTGCCGGATCAAACATCTGACTTAGAAGAAATAAGAAACTGTATAGTTCCACAGACACGGCAATTCTATACATTACAGAGCATACTTTTCAATAGCTTCGTAATATTCTCCACTAGTCAAAAGATTTAGCCTGATGGCTCAAATATCGTTGAAAAATGTAAGGAAAGGAAAGGAAATTCTGTTGCAAAGGTGAATCATGGAGAAGCTGTTTTGTGGTTTGGCCCTTCACTTTTATCCTGATAACTTATGACTATTAGGACCCATTTTACTGCTCCAAAAGGTTCATTCATAGACCAGTTTTAATTTTGTATTTACTTGCATAATCTTGAAAACAGACTAGAATAACTCACTGGAAAATCAGAATGCAAAAAAATCAGCCAGTAAACTAGTGTACAGTGAGATGAAAACCAGCATTTCATTACTTATTTAGTTATTCATTTATTTAAATATCTTTAACCAGAAAAATTCATTAAGATGCAATATCTCATGTTCAATGATGGCCTAGGGACGGGAGACGGATTAAAAAATGTAAATACTATTGGGTCTAATATGCGTACCATTAACACAAATATTAAATTAATATAAAACTTTCTGATAGAACAAACTTGGCTTTAACTCTTTAAATATATGGTTAAAATAGCTAACATGGGAATGGGTGGGAGACTCTTAGAGCTGATAGATGCAGTAAACAAGTATGTCTCAAAAGAGACTAAATGTCAGCAAAATAATTGCCTAACAGTACTTTATATCAATTAATTCATTTGTGTTTAATTAAAAGGAATCATAACAATTGGCTGCTTTATAAAAGCCCCTTAGCTCTGTAGTCATCCCCCCCCCATCTCCTATTTATTTTGTTTTCTTTTTCATTTTTAGAGTTTATCTTGTGCCGGCAATTGTTAGCCATTCTTGAATAATTCAACTAACCTCAGATTTCTAAAGTGAAAAAAACCCCACCCTTTATGACTAATATCTATAATGCAGAGGTAATATGAAGCAGAAAACGGCTACACTTAGGTTGAAGACAAATACAATATTTTATTTGTAGTAGAGATCGTTTTGAACAAACAGCTACAGTAGTGCTATCAGGGTCAGGATGCGAGGGTTCAAAACATTTCAAGCCCATTAAAAAGTTATGTCGGTCTTCTTTCATACAAATATATCTGAACACCCAAACATACACATTTCTAAACACACACACATGCACGCACGCACACATGAAAAGCTGTTTTAGTATTCATGTTCTGCCCAATAACAAAAGTCTTCAGTGTGATTTACAAGTTTTTATTACTGAAGACAATGATTTCTATATAATCTGTTTCTCATGCCCCAAGCTTACTATTTTATTTACTTGGGCTTCCTTCTGTTGTATTTTATGAATATATGCAGACACCTGCTTCATCAGATTGACAATCTATCAGTTGCCCCCACGTTAGCATCTGCTAGATATTATTGGATTCCAACTATATCTTTCTGATTTTTCAGTTTAAGTTTATTTGGTCTGCATACGAAAGGAAGACGGGAGTTGTAGTCTAGCTGCACCTGGAGAGGCCTAGATTGGGGAAGATGATCTTGTCTAGCATTCTGCTTCCAAAAGTTGTGTGTCAGATGCCTCAAGAAAGCTCACAAGTAGGGATTGAAGCAAATACTTTCTCCCTGAAAGTTGTCTCCAGCATCTAGTTCTTGAAAAACCTAGTGGCCTGATTCATATGCCACAATAAGTCAGAGTATAGTGTACCATAACAATGCAAATGTCCTGGTTCTTATTTGAATTTCTAAGAGTGCTGTTTCAAACATGTCTATTCAGAAGTAAGGTTGGGTGAGAAATTTGATTCAGTTCATATTTAAAGGTGAATGTATCAAATTTGCACTTTCTGAAACAACATGCCAACTGAAACAACAGCTACCCTTCAAAATTCCGAATTAACCAAATTTTGCAATGCAGCTACCCTTCAAAATTAACCAAATTTTGCAATGCAGTTCTCCATCCACAAAATGTGTGCAAAAATGCATATATGATGATAAAGTGTGCCTATAAATGCCTATATTAGTAAACATTTCACACAGAAATGCAGTACTCCATGCTTTGGCGAGTTCCAGATTGAATTACTGCAATGTTCTTTAGACAGAGATGCCCTTGAAGATGACTCAAGAACTTAAATTGGTTCAAAATAACCTCCATTTTGAAAGTTTCCAGTTTGTTTCAGATTAGTAGTAACAACAACAACAACAACCAGAGCCACTGTGGTGTAGTGGTTAAGAGTGGTAGACTCGTAATCTGGTGAACCGGGTTCGCGTCTCCGCTCCTCCACATTCAGCTGCTGGGTGACCTTGGGCTAGTCACACTTCTCTGAAGTCTCTCAGCCTCACTCACCTCACAGAGTGTTTGTTGTGGGGGAGGAAGGGAAAGGAGAATGTTAGCCGCTTTGAGACTCCTTCGGGTAGTGATAAAGTGGGATATCAAATCCCCCCCCAAAAAAACCCAACAACAACAACTTGCTTCTCAGGAATGTGTATACTGTGCATATAAATGTATGAGAAATTCACACAAAAATGGTGATGAATTCACAAGCTGATATAAAAATGTGGAGAACTGAAGACTGGAAAAATGAGAACCAGAGAGAAACAAAGCTGACATATTTGCCCATGTCTCCTCACAAGTAATAGACATTGAGTAAAATGGCTCTTACTCCCTATTAAGTGGCTGTATTAAGTCTATGATCACTAGTCCATTTGGAGGATAGCCTAAATCAGGAGTTTTCAACCTGGTCCCCACCACCCACTAGTAGGCGTTTTCGGATTCTAGGTGGGCGGTAGGGGTTCTACTGAATCCTCCTTACATCCAAGCTGAATCCTCCTTCCATCGAGCACTGGTGGGTGGTAAGGAAATTTTATCATTGAGAAAGATGCATTAGTGGGCGGTAGGTATAGAAAGGTAGACTACCCCTGGTAGTGGCTCTCCATGATTTCAGACAGGGTTCTCTGCCAGCCCTACCTGGATATACTGAGGTCAGATTGAAGTAAGGACCTTGAGCAGGCAAAGCTGATGCTCTACCATTGAGCTATGGCCCTTCTCCAAAGAGTTATCTGCTCTTTGTTAAGACTACCTTGTAGAGGTGCCTAATAATCCATGATTATTCCTATACATTTATCTGACGGAATCTATGAGACTGCTGAGGCTGCTAAATTGGATTGACCCCATATGTGCAACTAGCAACTGCAGCAGGACAATCTAGGATTGGGTCACAGGCTCCATCTCCAATGAAATGCTTGCAGCCGTATGTCAAAGGAGGTGCTATGGAGTAGCGCAATGTATGTTCCCTATTCCCCAGACAAATTATACATATGTATGTATGGGTGTGGGTGACTGAATGAGTGAATGAATTAATTCACAGCAGGAGTGAATAAATATACTATACGAACAAACACACATTTAAAAACTAACAGTACCATACCAAACAAAACGAGAGGTAGGAACGACCCCCTCCTGAAAAAAACAACTCTGTTTTGCACAGTCCACATACATATAACATTAAAATTTAAAAGAGTTTCACAGACTCCACCACGATTAATGCTTGTCATCAGTGCAACTTAGCTTGACAATACCATGATCAGCACATAGGCAAAATGAAACTTGATGCAGCTATATATGGAGGTTGTGTTGGGTCATTCCTGTTTTCTATTCCTTTCTGGATTTATTTTGTACAGAGCTTTGCAGTTCATTCCTTTATGCTGTTAGCCCAAACATTTCCATAAAGATGTTTCAGAGCAAATCGCTCAGTATTAACTGTACTCCCCCCCCCCCATTTACATTTTGATAGTTGAACATTTTTGTAAACATTGCTATTCTGGTTAACTATTGCACCTTCATCATAGCAAGGCAAAAGACGTCTACTAGAAGTAGGCTGCTCCCCCCCCCCACTTCCTTACCTCCCCTCCCCTTTGTCTTCAGCACATTTGGCTCTGTCACACTAGTTTACATGAAATGCTATTTCCTGAGCACTGACCTTTTCGACACTTATGTAGACTCAGCATCTTAATTGCTGTTGGTGTGAATCATCTAAAGCTGGTGCATAATTTTTCCAGACATTTATAGGAAATCTACTCTAGACATTTGCTCTGAGTAACAAAAATACAGAAATCTATAAATCCCATAAAATTTACCGCTTCTTCATTTTAGACATAGTTACATTTTTAACAACACCTTTTTTTAAAAAAAAGGTGTGTGTGGCGCTTTCAGGTTGATGGTGATTCTAATGAAAAATGGTCACGAGGAAACAATACCATGGATCTTTATGCCAGAGACTTTTAGAACAACACTTTTAGAAACTCCACACTTCTGCTGCTAGTCTGGCTCACTAAGTGTTACCGTGGAAGAATCTCTCTGTATGGGACAAATTCGACCCCAAAATTATATTTCCTGCCCACAGTCATTTTGGAAGCCTATTGCATGTAGGGTCCTCATCTTAAATGCTGTTAGTGTGATTCATCCAATGCCGTTTCATAATCTTTGCAATATATTTATAGCAGATGATTGCTCTACAGTGTTCTAAATTTCCTGCTTATGATGCAATGGCAAAAGTCATTAAACATTAGCAGTAATAGTATTTTCACTGTAATAAAGTGTTAATTACTTCCACATGTTAATAGAGTTGGGGGAGGGGAGGTGGGAGAGATTTTTTTGCTATTGTTACAGTGCCTAAAATAATTTCCATGTGATAATTTTCCAGGATATCAAAAACTGAATAATTATGCACTAATTAAGAAAGTAGAGCCTGCTCTGGAGTTAAGACTGCATTAATTTTAATGTTTTTACAGTCCTTTAATTGGGGAAAGGGCTGTAAATTGAGAGCTGACGCACTCTCCTACCATAAGCAGGCCTGCCTTTGCAATCTGCCTCCTATATACCGCAACCCAAGGTCAACACAAGTTTGCAAAATCCCTCTGCTCTTCATACGAAATGTATTGGTGGTGAAGCGTGCATCTATCACTCTGACAAGCATTTAACTCTCCAAGAGCACATGCTCTCACTTCTTAAATTATTAATTGCATTAAATACATTTTCATATCGCAGACTGTTTGCTACAAACTGTTCCCTGGTAGGGAGATGCGGTCCCCCCACAGTATGATATGGCTTGCCTTCTGTTCTTTCAGAGCCAAAGTGCCAGGTACAGGGAGCTCGTGCTTCAAGGGCTTGCAGATGAAATGAGCCACAGAGCTGGAACAAATCACCAGAAGTCACCTTAAAAAGTATGCAGGGGAAAGATTGGCCACACATTTTCCACTGTGGGCTCTTTTTTGCTTTTTGTCTGTGAAGCTCTTTGTGTGTGTGTGTGTGTGTGTGTGTGTACACACACACACACACACACACACACACTGAGCAACTGTCGGTCTGGTGGCTGTTGACTTAGCCATTGTGCTCAGCTCCCCAGGATAACACTGTATTTCAAGCAGAAATATCATCCCTATTCAACCGGATTAGAATCAGTGGCCTGTTCCATTTGGAACTGTGTTGCAAGGAAATGGGAAGACCTGGCAAATGGTTTATATAATGTCTCCCTTGCTCAATCCTGCATTTGAAAATACTATATGACATATCATGCTTTCCTTGTATTCACTGGCGTTATGGCCAGTGTTGGAAATAGACACATAGACACACATCCTTTGGGTGCCTGCGTTAAAAACTTAACTCCATGTGGCGAATCATTATTTGTTTGATTTCTTGCTTTCTACAAGGTTCTACCTGGAGCAGCCTTCAAAAGTTAACATGATATTAAAACAAATTAAAGCGAGAAAATTAAAACAGAAATCAGCAGAATTAAAACAAACACCAAGGTGGCCTCCTAGGCATTGGCGAAGAAGAGGAAATGCGCCACACACAAAAGAGACACAAATTTGCATAAAATCTTCATAGAAAGGGCAGGATCCACCTAATGAGTCGCTTCAGTGGATGCTCTCTGCAATTACTTCTGCTTGCACGGTGGGATGTCCCCCCTCTCGTCCCCCGTGTGTCCCCGTGTCCCCTGAAATTGTGTGTGTCTGGGGGGGAGGCTGCCTTTTATACAGGTTGTTTTGGAACCCAAATCACAGCTTGAAATGAAGGGAGCACAGAGTGACTCAGAAGCAGGTCAGATTATTATTTTTTAAAAAAACACATGCACAGATATAGATGCAAGGCAAATCTTGTCTGCTCATACACCTCTGCACACGTCATACTTTAGAAAAAATGGTGTGCATGCCATTAAGAGAAATCCAAACTAACAAAAGCCATTTCTATTATGTTGTTATTATATTTCATATTAATATTTTAGCCAGAAAAAAATAGCCCCATCTTTGCAACTCCTGCTCTGTTTGGATTTTATGGGATTCGGCCATGAAGCAACCCCGCTCCTATTGCTTTTACTTTTCTATTATCAGTATCTGCTTACAACTTTCCACTCCTACCAGAGCTTGCTTTAATATCCCATTGGTGGCTTGGGCAGACTCTAGTTCCGAATAACTAAGCCTTTTTAAAATCCCCTTGAAATTTCAGTTTTCATGCATCACTGGATACCTGTATTATAATGGCATTACTGTAGTTCAGATTAACTTGCTGAATCAAGTCACAGATCCACTCGTAAGTATCTTTATAGTGTAGGTCACCAACAGTCTCTTCAATAACTTCTCCACAAGAAAGACAGATATTATACCATGCATTTAAAAATGTTTCAGCGAATTATAAGCTTCAAGGCTGGTTATAAGCTGAATCTGTATGCACTAATGCACTGTGGCATTCTGCATGCATAAGAAATGTGAAGTTCAGTGGTACAAATATGGGAAACAACTTCCGAATTGTACTTCCATGCACTAAAATAAAATAAAACAATTCCTCATTTTTTTCTACCAATTTTTGTGGTGTGCAACATTATTTCAAAAGAACAAACAATAAACAACACCTTGCTTTTGCTGAAATTTTCAGGTGTTATTTAGACAATCAGCTTTCACGCCTCCTCCCCGCTGAACAGCTTGAGCCTTTCTCCTCTTTCAGAAACCCCATAAATATCTGTTATAATAGGGAAGTATGGAGGATTACAGGATGGCAGAAATTAGGTCAGTGCTCAGGGGAACATTGTGGGACCCTTGAAACCTCGGAGCTCCACCAAGACTGGATTTGCTCGACCCTTGGTATATTGTCACAGCACCACTGCTAATGGCTCTGTGTAGGGCTACTGCTGATAACCATTTCCCCTGCTCCGTGATGTCACTGTTGCCACCAAGCCACCCCGAACTGGACTTGCTCAACTTCATAGGAAGAACACTAGCACCCCTAGGTAAAGCCCCGGAGCGGCCTGACTGGTGGTGGTGACTGCTAATTTAAAAGGGGATTAGAAAAACAAATCACTGGCGATAAGGCTATTAATGACTACTAGTCATGATAGCCCTATGCCAGGCATAGGCAAACTTGGCCCTCCATATGTTTTGGGACTACAATTCCCATCATCCCTGACCACTGGTCCTGTTAGCTAGGGATCATGGGAGTTGTCATCCCATAACATCTGGAGGGCCGTGTTTGCCTATGCTTGCCCTACGCAATCTCCAAATCAGAGGCAGCATGCCTCTGGACACCACTTACTGTGGAACAGCAATGTAAGAGGTTTGTTGTCCTGATGGCCTGTTTGTGGATGTCTCAGGGCACTGTGGAAACAGAATGCTGGGCTTTCCTTTCAGGTTCCCCTTTTGTTCTTATGCTTACTTCCTTCATCCACGAATGAGATGCTGAATTATTTTATTACTGCTCACATTTTAAAAATGGAAATGTATTATGTCTTTCTTTCTCATTGAAGCTACTAACAAATCAAGCCTTGAACCCAGGCCAGTACTCTGTACTCTGTAGTTCAGTGCCGTGTCCCAGGAGGAGTGGGGAACTTTTCTTCTGTCTCTCGTGCGATTACTTCCAGAGACCAGATGCCAAGGGTATGGACAGCCAGGGACAAAAGGCTGTGTGTGACTTTTAGATGTGACTTTTATTTTTATAGGTTACATTCCAGGCATGGAAGAGTCAGAGGTTTACACACACACACACACACACA